AACTTTTAAGTTTTATAATAAAGGTTTGTTTCAATAAACATTTAAAAATAATGTTACACTCCAGATGTTCATCAAATTCGTAAATAAATAACTACAAAAAATTCCAATTTGAGTCTTTTCAGGGGTTATCAAGCTTTATCTGTTTTGTAAGAATTCGAAAACTGATGCTGTCTAACGGAGTTTCAATTAATTAAGGCAATTTTTCTTTAAATGCATCTAGTTCCATTCTTTTTATACGTATGTTCCAGAATAACTGAAAAAACTCGACTCTTTTGAAATTGCACCAGCATTTTAATACGTCCGGAGCTAATTGGAAATGTCTTCAGCATTTTTGAGTCTCTCTCATGATTTTAAGTTTATTACTATCCACCTTAAGTTTTATAAGGAAATACGCGAAGAACTACTTTATCAAACTCCTTTTGCTTAGGCTTAGTCAAACGAGTGTATAATAAGGTAATTTACAATAAGCTTCTCTGAGCTTATTTCAAACTACCAGAAATAAATCAGGCTAAATTAAAGATGAGTGATATATTTTTAATTAGCCTAATGATATGTGCAGTAAGCCTGAAAATGACAAGCTGGTTAGATAGTAAACGGAGACTTTTCCAATTATTCCGTAGTTTCTATAAGTCTACGTGTAATAAACTGTAATATTTGTAAGCTTATTGCAATCAGCCTTAAGGGTTATTAGGAATTGTGCGAATAACTACTAAATCAAACTGAATTTGCCTAGACTTATTGCAATGTACAGTTAATGAAGTAATTTACAATAAACTTTCAGTTATTTGAGCTTATTGCTAACTCCACGAAATAAATCAGACTAATTTAATAATGAGTGATCAATTTCTAGTTAGTCCTAAAATATGTGAACTTTCTGCAGTTAGCTTAGAAAGAAACAAGTTATTTAGAAGGTAATCGGAGACGAATGAGCCTAGTATTTTGAAAAATAACGGTGACAGTATTTATAGAACTGGGTTATTCAATTAGAGCAAAATCGATCGTAAACATCGTGTATTTATTTTTCAATTTTCGGATTATTTTATTTTTAAAGGAGTTTTAAAACATTAATTGTAAGTTTTATAATTACAATCAAATTTAAGAAAAACGTATTTAGCTATAAATTTTTTTATAAACCTTTTTTATTGTTTTTTATATTTGTACATTTTTAGTTAAATTCAAGTATTAAATAAGACACATACCATATTATTATTTGAATTTATCAAATTGGGTTCGTATCAAAACAAACTTGACTCAGTATAATGAAAGCTGAAATGATTTTGACAATAAAAACTACTTAAAATTAAAATGGTTTTGATTAGAGATAAAGTGAAGAATTTTTAAAACTGTTTCAACAAGTTTAAAAACAAAAAAAATTGTTCATAAGCATAAAAAAATAATCTAAATTTCCTATATTTTTTCTCTCAAAAATATCATGTTACTTAACCCCTTCCTTCTGGCTCCCGTGAAAATGACGGGGTGAGGTTTCGCCCTCTATTTCTCGCTCCCGTGATATTGACGGGCTGGAGTGTTCAGTAGTAACGCGCCAATAAGAATAAAACTAATTCCTTTCTTTCGCCCGGAAAACATTTTATTTCTCATTTTACACACCAGATGGCTGTACCAGGACTTTATAAGGTAATTGTAGATAGTTAGGTTATTTTAAACTAGTTGCAGCATTAATCAAATGCGTAATACAAATACAAAAGCCAAAGAAATAGGCACTTTTATGACCGTTTTCTTGAAAATTAACCGATTGTTAAGGGGTTAAAGTAAAATAAATTAGTTTAAGCTTGTTTCCTAAAAGCGTTCAAATTTTTGTCAGCTTTAATTAATGATTCATGTATTGATGATAATATATTGCTAATCTTGCCATTGCTGAGTTAATTCGTATTTCAGTATGATGTAAGAAAATTGTAACCATCGTCCTTATTGCATATTTTAAGAATTCTTGTGAAAAATAATGTAAAAACAATTTTCATATTAGGGATTGCAAATGAATGTTGGCGGGAAAAGCAAAAACATTCCAATCTTTCGAATAATTAACAACAAGCGGCGAATATAAGTATTCCAGCTTGCTTGACTACTGAGGCAAACTGCCATCAAGATGGTTTTGATTTTTTTTCAATCCCGTCTTTCAAAATAATGAATTGTCAGATTTTATAAACCCTTTTCATTTTTTTTGAAAATTTCGCCCCCTAAATTAAAAGATTTTTAAATATGATGGTAATTATAAACACCCTTTATTTTAGTTCAACAGTGAGCAATCAATGTAACATAAACAAATTTTTAAACTTAAAATTATTTGTTTTTAACCCCTTCTATCTCGCTCCCGTGAAAATGATGGGGTGAGGTTTCGCCCTCTATTTCTCGCTCCCGTGATATTGACGGGCTGGAGTGTTTAGTAGTAAGAGCCGATAAGAATAACACTAATTCATTTCTTTTGCCCGGAAAACATTTTATTTCTCCTTTTACACACCAAATAGCAGTGGCAGGATATTTTTAAAGTAATTATAGATAGCTTATTTTAAACTAGATTTCAGCACTAATCAAAAGCCAAAAAAAAAAAAAAAAAAAAGGTACTTTTATGANATTTAATAATGAGTGATCAATTTCTAGTTAGTCCTAAAATATGTGAACTTTCTGCAGTTAGCTTAGAAAGAAACAAGTTATTTAGAAGGTAATCGGAGACGAATGAGCCTAGTATTTTGAAAAATAACGGTGACAGTATTTATAGAACTGGGTTATTCAATTAGAGCAAAATCGATCGTAAACATCGTGTATTTATTTTTCAATTTTCGGATTATTTTATTTTTAAAGGAGTTTTAAAACATTAATTGTAAGTTTTATAATTACAATCAAATTTAAGAAAAACGTATTTAGCTATAAATTTTTTTATAAACCTTTTTTATTGTTTTTTATATTTGTACATTTTTAGTTAAATTCAAGTATTAAATAAGACACATACCATATTATTATTTGAATTTATCAAATTGGGTTCGTATCAAAACAAACTTGACTCAGTATAATGAAAGCTGAAATGATTTTGACAATAAAAACTACTTAAAATTAAAATGGTTTTGAATAGAGATAAAGTGAAGAATTTTTAAAACTGTTTCAATAAGTTTAAAAATAAAAAAAAATTGTTCAGAAGCATAAAAAAATAATCTTAATTTCCTATATTTTTTTCTCAAAAATATCATGTTACTTCCTTTTCGCTCCCGTGAAATGACGGGGTGAGGTTTCGCCCTCTATTTCTCGCTCCCGTGATATTGACGGACTGGAGTGTTTAGTTGTAAGCGCCGATAAGAATAACACTAATTCATTTTTTTTGCCCGGAAAGAATTTTATTTCTCATTTTACACACCAGATGGCAGTGGCAGGATATTTTTAAGGTAATTATAGATAGCTTATTTTAAACTAGATTTCAGCACTAATCAAATACGTAATACAAATACAAGAGCCAAAAAAATAGGCACTTTTATGACCGTTTTTTTGAAGATTAACCGATCGTTAAAGAGTTAAAGAACCGAAAAATATAAACTTAAAGTTTGAATTGAAATTAAAATTTTGTTAAAATATTATCTTTATTTTATTAAAATAATCGCATTCGATTAAGTTAAAAAATAAATGAAATAGCGATGCATTTTTCTTTTGTAGATTTTATTTAAATGTGTGCTCCTTATTTTTCCAGAAAGTCATAAATATAAGAAAAATAAATGCAATTTAAAGTTTTAAACTAATATTGCAGCAGGGGAAAATAAATTAATTCTATTTGCTACAAAGCGGTTTTCATTTGTTTAAAATACAATATTCATGATACATTCTTATACAAACACCATTTATTCTGGAAGTTTTTTTCACAGGAATTTTTTTCTATTTATATCACAAATATTCGCTCAATTGTGGTTTACAGTCAAAGTTTTTGGTACAATGTACAAATTTTATTCACACAGTTTGTACAGTGAAAACAGAAAAGGACACTTAACGTTTAAATAAAGTTTTGTGTATAAAAAAAAATTATAACATTATTGTCATATAAATGTGTTTTTAGTTTGCATTAAGTTGGATGGCATTTTTGATGCATATTATAATGGAGTTTTAGCTGTGATTAGATCTTAATTGCTGGAAGAGAAATTTTCAAACCTGATTGTATAAAAGTTTTAAAAGGACATTTGTATAAATGTAAAGTTTTTTTTGGCACTAATTTACTGTTTTGGTTGCAATAATTTCAAACTATTTTGAAACGTTATAAAATTGAAAGTGCAATATTTTTCATTTTTATATCAGCGACCATTTTATTATTTAAAAATAAACATATTAATATGGCCCACCAGTTATTAACTTATTATGAAAATTCAATTTTGATCCTATTTTCATAAATAGGGTCCGTACAAATATCTACAAACTAATGTTTTGACTCTGAAAATTGTTATTTATATGCAAATGAAAATATTAATTTCCAAACCTTTAAAATTTTTAAACGAAATATTTTAATCTGGCGGTAACCATTTCTTAGATTTCTTCAAGCCAGGTTATTATTATTTTACGCTTATTTAAAGCATTTAATTTAAGTTTTTGGATTGTATAAAATTGTTTAATCTCGTATCGCATACTGTTAATTTCGTTTCATTTATTTTAACCTTAAATATTTTTTTTAACAAAATGGACAGTTGATTTGGTTGACATAAAACGATTTAAAGTAGTTATAAAAATCGTAAAACTGGAATATCAAATACTTTAGAAAATTTGGTTTTAAATAATTAAAAAAATAATTAAAATTGCTCTCGAGCAATATTTGTTATATTGAAATCTTTTGCTTGCTTTTTATAAATAGGATAAATAAGCATATATATATA